TGGAAGAAAACTTGATGTATGCACTGGTTGTTTAAACCCGACCACAGAAAGAAATATTCCTCCTTATATATTTCTTTAGGGAATATCCCCTCCCCTCACCCCACCGTGAAAGGCCGTTTACTGAGAAGAAGAAAAAGGAAAAACAAAAACAGAAAAGAAGGATAAATTGTTTCTTTTTCTTCGCAGTCCCCGGGCGACTCCAACTGCTTTTTACACTGGATCTCTTAAATTTTAGAAAAACGGCCAAAATTTGGGCTCGTAATTTTGTTAATATTTAAGCAAAAACTGCCCTCTACCAACAACTGGGCAACTCTGCGGGTAACACAGAAAACCAGCGTTAAAACAGTGGCTAACGCCAGGAGGCTGGGGACAGGACGAATGATCTCAAGTGCGCAAGCGCAGTTTTGCGTCCTGTTTCATGTGCAAAACGAAGACCTATTTTAACAGAGATCTGGTTAATATTGAAAGTATTTAAATCAATTCGGTGTAAGAAGACTCCTTAGGTAACGTGCTTTGGAGAAACTGTAAAAGATTTAGAGAACATTAATACCCCAGCAAAACGCAGCTTCGCCCAACGTGGGGCTCGAACCCACGACCCTGGGATTAAGAGTCCCATGCTCTACCGACTGAGCTAGCCGGGCGCCTGGTGAACGTGCTTGTTTTTTTTCCTCTTGATGAGTATTGTACTACATTTGGTCTTGTCCCACATCATTTTCTAAAGAAAATTTCGTGAAATATTAAGTCGGTACTTCAGTATTATTTTTAAAAGCATTTGAAAACATTTAGATGTGCTTAAATTTGAGAATTTTTATTGTGTATGTATCCGAAGATCACTGAAAGCTTATGCAAGTCCTTACCATTACAGAGTCATTGAACCTTGTTTCTGAAGTGTTTAAAAATATTTACTGCCCAGTGTTATCTTTTGTACATAAATACGTATCAAGGCCATCCAACTTCGATCAAAAGGCATACTGGATTCCTACATATTTCAGCTCCGCGTTAAAAAAAAAGTCCAATCTCTAAGAAGTTAGTTTGAAAAACAGCGGAACTTAGTTGTTGTTGTTGCTTAGCTATTTGAGTATCTTCTAATGAAAAGTTATATTGAGGAAAGGATTACGATTCTATTAAAACAAGTTCTCTTTCGGATAACTGTCTGACAGTGGAGAGAGGACGCTCAGAGGTTATTGTTATCCTGCTCAAATGACAGAAACTGGGAGATAAGGATTACATTATAGAGCCTCTGAATCTAATGGAAAAGATTGTTAATTATAAGAGGAATAGAGATGAACCTGATTCTAATCAAATTATGACAAGCTGAGATAATGGAGTAATCTCCTATGGAAATAAATATATTCTGAGATGCTAGCGAACCTTTATAGATAAGAAATTCTGCAAATTTCTGTAACAGTGGAGTGTGGGGTGCTGTTTATCCTACTGCTCAGAACTGCAAGTTAAATCCTGGGATTCTTAGGATACTATCCCTAAACCACAGTATTTAGAAGCTAAACACATTGGGCATCACATTGCCTAAGGTACATAATTAAAAAATAATTAGGATATGTCATAAAATAGTACTATATGCTTAGATCCCTCAAAGTACACCTAGGATTTAAGTTGAGTATTTACAATTTTTAAGCTTAAAATATTACAATTACTCAGTTTTTTTTCTTGCAACTTCAAATTGATTTATTTGTGATTATTTTATATCTTAGCAGAACATAATTGGGAAGTGAATTTGATTGTATATATATATTTTTGCATATTCAACACATTTATCAAGTACCTACCCCATGGAAAGCACTGTGTTAGCATTCTAATAGAAGGATAAAAGAGACTTGGATAGCCTCAAAATGCTTATCACCCTATACGAAAGATGTGTAAATTGCATACCGATTTCCAATGTACTACTTTCAAAAGTAATTTGGAGTAACTTGGTTAAAAGAAACAAATAAATCCATACCCAAACGTTTAAGACTTGTAATGAATCAGGCAAATAATCAAGAACCTGAGACCACAATTCAATGCGCTCTTCTGAGACACAAGACAAATCAACAATCCAGCCCCGAACTAGGCAGCTCATCTGACAGTGAGTTCAGAAAGAACCCTCAAATTCTTAATTATTAATAAATATTAAGTGCGCTATGCACTCAGTCTTCATCACACACAAGTAATAAAGTTAATTAAAAGTTTAACTGGATACCTAAACAAGTTTGGAGTACTTATAGTTTACCTTCAAGGTGAATCCTCCTATGACTGACTACCTGTAGCCTTTAGCTTTCTTCAGCGCTTTCTTGGCTTACCTTGGTCTAAATCAGGCGCACATATAAACTAGAAGGTTTTAATGAGTAGGCAAATTAAGTGCCTAGTTATCCAAGTAAATTCAAATCTTTTATTTATTCACTTGTTAAAAAATAAAACCTAACCATTAATTATAATGCTTCTTTAGCAGGAAAAAGTAATTGAAGTTCCCATTTTTTCCCTCTTTCCTACATCCAATTCTTCAGGAAGACCTATGTCTTAGTCTGTTTTCTGATGTTACAACAGAACACCAGTCTTGGTCATTTATAAACAATAGAACTTTATTTGGCTCACAACTGGAGGCTGGGAAGTCTGAGAGTGTGGTATAGGCATCTGGCAAAGGCCTTGTGCTGCATTAACCCATTATGAAAGGGGAGAAGGAAATTGAGAACATGAGGCAGAGAGAGAAAAGTGAGCTGAACTCATCCATTTATCAGGAGCTCACACTCGAGATAACTAACCCACTCCTGAGATCACAGCATTAATCCATTCAGGAGGGCAGAGCCCTCATGACCTAATCACCTCTTAAAGACCCCATCTCCCAATGTAGTTACATTGGCAATTAAATTTCAACATTAGTTTTGCAGGACACACATCCAAACCATAGCACCCTGCATATCTGAAATCCATCTACACAATTCCTTCTCTACTGCCTCCTCTGTAGTTCAAATCACTCTCCATTACTGCTTGCCCACAGGTGTGCAGTAGTTTTCCACTAGTATTCCTGCTTTATTTTTTCCCCCTAGCTATCATTCTTTGCATGGAAACAAAAGAAATTATTTAATAATTTGTATTAAATCATATAATTATCTTACTTAATAAACTCTTGATAATTTTACAGTAAAAAATCAATAATAAGTGTGAAAAGAATGATGGAAATTAGAAAATTGCCATTTGGAATCCATCATAATCATAATTAACTCAAATAAGAATCATCAGATACTATCAGTGGGTAAAAGGTTGAGGAGTTATAGGATGTTTCTATAGTCTCAAAGTGCTTTCTTTTTTTTTTTTTTAAAAGATGACCGGTAAGGGGATCCTAACCCCTGACTTGGCGTTGTCAGCACCACGCTCACCCAGTGAGCCAACCGGCCATCCCTATGTGGATCCGAACCCTTGGCCTTGGTGCCATCAGCACCGCACTCTCCCGAGTGAGCCACAGGGCCGGCCCTCAAGGTGCTTTCTTGTAAGATATTTATTAACTAAATAGGGAAAAATAGAAACTTTATAGTGGAGAAATCTTAAGCAAGTGATCAAAATTAACATCATCACTAATGTAACAAATTGACATCATGTGCCTCAATATAATGCTCTGACACGAATGAGTACAAGGTCACTTCTGCAGTATTTCTGCCAAAAAATGCATCATCCAAATCTAATTATATTAAGGAATAGTCTACAAAATAAATGGTTTGTATTCTTCAAAAATGTGGGGGGTCTTTGGGTAGCTGGCCAGTACAGGGATGGAATCTGGACCTTGGTGTTATCAGCTAACCATCTGAGCTAACCAGCCAGCCATGTTCTTTGAAAGTGTTAATGCCATGAAAAGTAAAGAAATACTGAGCAACTGTTTTCCAGATTAAAGGAGACTAGAAACATGACAGCTAAATGCAGTGTGTAGTCTTGGATATTCTTTTGCTGCTAAGGACGTTGTGGGAGAATTGCAAAATATGAACAAAGTTGATAAATAATAGTATTGTTAATTTTCTGAATTTCATAGTTGTATTGTTTATGTAAAAAATGTTCTTATTTTTTGAAAAAATACATGCAAGTATTTAGGAGTAAAAAAAGTGCTTATGGTCTATTTACAATCAGATCAAAATCCAAACCACTATAATATATCCTATGTACACTTCTGATTTCTCTGTAACTCTTCCCCACTTAATTACTATGACAAGCCACACTGACGTCACAGTTTCTAGAACAAGCCGTTTTTCCTTGTACTTGCTGTTCTCTGAACCACTCTCAGCCTTTTCTTATTCCAAGTTTCAGTGTACTATCACCAATTCAGAAAGTTCTTCCCTGAACACCAGGCCTAAAGTTCGCACCTCCATTTTCTATTTAAGAGCTCTTCTCCCTTCTTACCACTTATTTTGTCTATTTATTCTTTGTTACCTATTTCTTCCCAGTGAATGCAATTTCCATGAGAGACGGGAGTATGTCTTCACCGTTTTATCAGCGATGTTTAACAGGGTACTTGGAACATATTAGTGTTAAATAAATCTCTTTAATCAGGCTTATCCTTAACTCTACTAAAAAGCATTAGACTCATTGAAAGGGCACTAATCCTTCTGTAAAATCCCAAGCTGAGCTCAAAGATGATACCCTTAAAATGCAACTTCATTTCCGAGAGCCTGAGGATAGAAGAGTGAAGTAGACGCCATCAAGATACTGGGTCCGAACCAGGATGCCAAGGAGGAGGGGATACCACTCCCCTACTGCTTTCTCTGGTCTTTGTTAAGAGTATACTCGTAGGAACATCTATCCTTTTTCCTTCAAGAGAAAATAAAGTAACGAGAGGAATAATATAATGTGACACTACACAAGATAAGTAATAATCCCTAGGAAGAGAAACGGAGCAGGTTCCCAACCCCATTGTTTCTGCACATGCGCACCGCCGGCCACTCTCATTCCCTCCCCCCTCCTTTCCCCACAATCCTTTTCGAGTCCGCGGAACGAGCCACAGAGAAAAAGACCATTGGTCTAAAGTGCAGCCAATGAGAAGGCTTGTTACTAGTGTGCCGGGTGCTGCGGCGTAGGGCAAGCACTTTAGGCCTGGAAGCTGTCCGCGTCCCGGTGGTTTTAGCACGATGAGCTCGATCGGCACCGGGGTGAGTTTGTTATGTCTTGGTGTGATAGTCAGGCCTAGGGACCAACGTGTAAAGGAACCCGGACAGGCCGCATGGGGTGCGCTAGGACTGCCCGCGGCCAGGTGGGCCGCTTCCAGCTGTCTGCAGCCCGTCGGTCTTTTATCCGCTCTGTTCTAGGCCTGCGTTTCAGGTGGAGGTGACTCCTGAAGCGTGGCAGCCCGGCTGTAGCAGGCTTGGCGGCGCAGCAGTGAGGGTTGGAGCAGTTCTGGATGCTGAGTCACTTTCTTTAGCCGCTTAGGGAAACCGAAAGTGGAAATTCGTGCGGTCTGAAATAGTGTGTGAAGGGTTTGGGCAACAGTTCGCCTCTTGGGAACCACCGAGGCAGTGCGGCTTAGGATTCCATGGTCTGAGACTCAGGCTTCCTGTGGACCGTCTTTCTGTTCCTAGGGGGCTGCTGACTCACGGGCCTTCTCTGTCTTCCCCTCGAGTATACTGATCGACTGCTCAGTGTAAGAGTCCCTGGAAACCCTGTCGGGACAGAACTGTTAAGAAAACTGGTCTGAAAACTAAATCTGATGTATCTTTTCAGTTTTTCCTTTGTCCCTGCTTTTCCTGTACAAATTACTTACCAGCGCTTTTAAGCATTATCTAGGGACTTAACCGCTTCCAACCTATAACAGACTCTTGAGGATTTTGGAGTTGGACTTAACTTGTTCGGCTTACCACTTTCCTTTGTTAAACGTACTGCATTTGTGCAGTGTTTTGCTTACTCCCTTTATGTACTTCTCCATATAGGAAATACAGGTGTTTTTGGAAATACTTATTAGTTATTTGCACTAGAGGCATTGAGTACAGACGGTCTCCGACTTAACGATGGTTCCACTTGCAGTTTTTCAATTTTAAGATGGTGCTAAAGTTATACGCATTCAATCCGTAAATCGATTTGCCGTATTTTCAATTAACGATGGGTTTATCGCGATGTAACCCCGTGGTAAGTCGAGGAGCATCTGTAATGGGTTTCTCAGTTCATATATTTCTAGTTGTTTACAAGATTTTTGATTTCAATTTTAAAGCCAAATACTGGTGTTCCGAGTTTCATAACAGGCAACTTATGTTTGAGATGGTTTAATCCATTCGGTTATGAGATGCTAAAGTATGCCATCATAATACTTTTTTTGGATAAGTAAATGCTTAATAATGTATCTTGTAGCAGGTTGACTTTGCAACTACATTGATATTACCTTCAATTGATAGTGTTTCATTCTACAAACCTTTAAAAAATACTTGATAAATATAACCACGTGGGATATGTTAGTATTACAATGGTAGAGTAACGATCTGTTTAACAGATCAGGAAACTGAGACTCAGAAAGTACAACTTATGAAGGCTTATCTTCTGTCTTTACTTCTCCCAAGAACTTCAGATGTGAATACTTGTCTGACATTTGTTCACTTGATTAACTGTCATTTCATAATGAATGTCCAAAGTAGAGCTCTGTGTTTTCTCCTCCCCTTGCCATTTTGTATCTATTACAATCCTCAGTTCAGTGAATGGTCCAATTCTAGTTGCTCAGGAAAAAAAAAAAAGTCTATGGTTCATCTTTAATTTCTTTTTTTTACTTTACTCCCAGAGCCAATCTGTTAGCAAGTTTTTTGCTACCTTCAGAAGGTATTCCCTTCCATCTCTTCTCTAAGCCACCACCACTCTCTTTGGAATACCTAATCTCTGCTTCCACTCGTTTCCCTCTACAATTCATTTTCCACATGAAGCCAGAGTGATGTTTTTAAAAACTTGGAAATATCGTCCCCTCTGCTTAAACTCATTAGAGTAAAACGTAAACTCCCTACTACAGCCTAGTCGACCCAACATAGTTTGGCCCTTAGTTACCTAGCTGACGTAGTCTGCTCTTTTCACTACTGCTTACAGTGCTTGAGACACAGTGACCTTATTTCTGTTTCTTGACTGTGCTAGGCTTATTTCCACCCTAAGGTCTTTGTGCCAAATGCTGGGAAAGCTCTTCCTCCATATCCTAAATAGCTAGTTCCTTGTCATTTAGGTCTTAGCTTAAATATAACTGCCCCAGCAATGCCTTCACTGAAGGACTTTATGAATGAGTGATCATCTTTGTATTCCCATGTGATTAACATATTATAAATGCTCATCAGATGTTTGTGGAATGCTAAATGATTTGTCCAAGGTCCTTCAATTGGTTAGCAGCACAGCTAAATCTAAATGTTCTGACTCCAGTGCTGTTTCCACTATACCATATTAATTTTTTTCAAAAATGAATTTTGTGTTCTGTGTGAAGAAAGTTCTGACTTCCCCTAGGACTTGGATCTGTTTCTCTTCAAAAGCAGAAATCTAAGGTGTATACCTTTGCCGTAGCCACTGTTGCTGTTCTGACATGCTTCTCCTTCCTCTTCAAAGCAGTCTTTATTGGAATATATCACATTCCTGATGTTTAAGACATTTAGAGAGAAAAAAATTGTATGGTTATTATTGCCAAAGGTATATTATAAGCTTATTGTTGACCTTTTCTCCTTAGTATGACCTGTCAGCCTCTACATTCTCTCCTGATGGAAGAGTTTTTCAAGTTGAATATGCTATGAAGGCTGTGGAAAATAGTAGGTAAGAAACATTGTTTTACTTGAAATAAGTATGTTTTAACCATTTATTAAATGTCTCCTTTTATTTTTTATATTTTTGATAATTGGGTTTTCTTTATTTGGCACAAACCAGTATATGCCCTAAAATAATCTCAATTTATTAGTCATTTCTGGATCTCTTTCTAGTCCAAATCTTTTCCATGAGCCCCAGTCCTGTATTTCCAGTCAATTCCAGGATTATCCACTTAGATATCCAAGTCTTAAATGTAGTTTTATACACTATATTTCTTTTCATCTTTGCTAGCCCGTTTTCCTTTTTCAAATTCTTGATTTATGTGATTGTTTTCCTTGGCCATTAGGTTTGTGACCTTGTCTTTTATTTCTCATACATTTTGTGTTTTAAATATCCTATGCAGTTAATCATGTTTCTCTCAGTAGAGGTTTGATTCTTCTCTGTTTCTGCTGCCACTCTCCAAAAGGTGTAGGATCGCTAAGATATTTTCCTGTTGGGCTCCCTTCTTTACTCTTTTATTGTTTAGAGTAATGTACTAAAATTATTACTTTGCATCCTTGTAACATCTGGGTTAAATTATTAGCTTGTTGACAAATATTTTTAGTCTTTTACTGAGGAAGTTTTGTAGTCAGTTATACGTACATGATCACTGTATTTTCAAATCTAAAGAGCAGCTTTGGGATGAATTAGAGGATTTTTTTAAAATTTCTTTTATAACATCATCTCATTCAGATCTCAAAATTTTTTTCAGGCTTACTAAACAGAGTGTTGGATTTGGGCTCAATTTTCCTTTACAATTAAAACCTTTGGAATAAAGGTGGAGTAAGGAAATGATTTCAGGATTCTGGAAAAGTACACATGTGAAATAATGAGTTTTTCCACTTTCTATTAGTGTTCTTAATATTTGTTATGGAAGTTTCTTGAGGGTAGAGACTTGTCTTTGCTTGTGCTGGCACTTAGCAAGCCCTCAGTAGTGAATAAGTAGTGTTCATTTCAGAGTGGTAGAAAGAAGGTATATGGGTTTATAATGGTTTATGAAGTATTTTTAAATGTGAAAAAAATACATTCTTATGGAATTTGTAAGGAAGTTAATTTATTTTGTGTTTAAATGTATTATTAGAGATATTGGTACTTACAAGCTATCAGTATCTGATACTATAATAAAGCTGTAAAGAATTTTAGGCTCAATATATTTGTCAATGGATACAAAAAGCCTGATAAAATTCAAATTTAAGAAAAAAGGTGACATTTTCTTCTGACTGATGAAGGAAATGGGCTCTTAGAACACGGAGCTGGAGAAACTTAGAGAAGTTAGTTTTTCTCTTCCTCCTCTGCATTCTTGAATTTTCATTGGTTTAAAAAACTGGTAAGAGAAGTCTTGACTCAGAGAAAAACTGGAGGTATATTTTGAAATCATCTGTTATCCAGAAAGTGGAGACTAGGCTATGAGGAACTGTGTATCTTAAGAATTTGTTTTCTAAAAGTATCTCTAAATATGATTTAAAATAGTCACTTAAATTTAACCAAACAGGAGGAAATATTTTTAAAAATTGAAACCTTAAAAATGAATTTGATTTTTAAAAAATTTTTTGTATAAAGAAAAACTACTAGGAAAGTTACTCTTTTAAAGGGATCTCTGTAACCCAGTGTGGTAGAAAGCTGGATGAGGATCAGAAGATCTGAATTTTCCTCCTAGTTGCTACTTATAACTACTTCACATATCTTATCATAAGAATGAAATATATGTAAAAACACTTGGAAAATTTTTAAGTGCTGTGTGGGCATAGTAAATAGAGACAGATTGTATAGTAATTTTCTTAAGAGTCTTGTACAGGCTGGTCTGAACGTGGTGAGTTATCTCAATTGTTCATAGTCAGTTACAGATCGAACTCCTTTGTTCTACTCTTTCTCCTCTTCTTACTACTGCACTTGACTAGTCTTGAAAAAATAAAGTCTGGTACATAAAGAGAAAACATTTAATCTAATAATTTGATTTACGATTATAATTTGACATAAATTCTTATAAAGAAATTTAATCTTTAAGAGTCAAATATTTTTTAGTGCCAGTTAAGCATAGGAACTGCCAACACAAATAACATATAAGTGAATACTTAAAAGCATTTTATTAAAAATATTTACTATGATCCTAACTAGTTTATAAAAGTATGCCCTTAGAAAGTAATTTGAAAAAGAAAAAAGGGGATTCTCATTGAGGAGCTAAGGTATATAACGGAGGTTGTGTGATACAACTGTAAGGACTATATTGTTTAGAACAAAAATGTACACAAAATTTTGGTCTGTGGGTCCCTTTATACTTTCAAAGATTATTGAGGACCTCAAAAAGCATTTATTTTTATAGGCTATAGGTTTTATTAATATTTACTGTGATCCCAAAGACCTTTTATTTTTTCAGGTTATTGGTTCTATTAATATTTACCATATTAAAAACAAAAGAAAAAAATTTAAAAATGTATTCATTTAAAATAGTAAACACTGTCTGGCCCGTGGCGCACTCGGGAGAGTGCAGCGCTGGGAGCGCAGTGACGCTCCCGCCACGGGTTCGGATCCTATATAGGAATGGCCGGTGTGCTCACTGGCTGAGCGCGCTACGGGCGACATCAAGCCAAGGGTTGCGATTCCCTTACCGGTCACAAAAAAGACAAAAAAAATAAATAAATAAAATAGTAAACACAATTACATATTAATTTAAAATAACTTAATGAACAATATTTTTAATGAAAAAATAGCTTCAAAAACAAAAAAATTTAGTGAGTGGTATTTTACATTTTTGCAAACCTCCATCAGCTTAATGATACAGTTGGATTCTTACTCTTTGTTCAATCTGTTATATTTAATATATTATGAAGTAAATCCAAATCAGGCTTCGCACAGATACGTAGTTGGAAAAGTGAGGAGTATCTTAATAGCCTTTTCAGATAATTATGGATATTGTTCTTTGATACTACACCAAAAGTGAACAAATGGTAGTTTCTTTTTTTAAAAAAAAAAAGACTGGTAAGGATATCTTAACTCTTGACTTGGTGATGTCAGCACCACGCTCTCCCAAGTGAGCTAACTGGCCATCCCTATATAGGGATCTGAACCCGTGGCCTTGGTGTTATCAGCCCCACACTCTCCCAAGTGAGCCACGGGCCAGCCCTAAATGTTAGTTTCTTAAAGGTTAGTTGGAGTATGAAAACATATTGGTGAACATCTTTGCACTGTTACATTAAAATCCATTGGGGCTGTCTTACACTTTGAATAGATCTGTTACCAATGCATAACTCTGTAAACATTATGAATTGATCATTTTGAAAATATTGGTTCACTGAGTTATAACAGATCTTCCAAATTTGATATATTTCATTTTAAACTATCAAAAACATGATATTTGTTAATATTACCACTGATCTCAACATAAACGTTTCTAAGTATTGGGAAGCAGGCAGGCTGGCTCATAGTGGTGAATATGTTTCCCAAAATTCCAATTTTTGCTTGAAAACTTGAATTTTATTATTGACAACAAATTTGTCAGTGGTTTTCCTTGAAGTAACTGGCTCATTTTGTTCCTTTTAGGAAAAATGTCTGCTGTATGTCTAAGTGTAAATAACCATAGTTTGTTTTACATTGTTGAAGGTTATTCATGAGGAAACTCACAATTCACAAAACAGTTGCACAAGTGCTTTTTCCTTGAGGCAACCATCATACTTGGGTGTGCAGCAGAAGTACTCTGGGCACCTCCCATTTCATTACTAGAATATTAAAAAGATGGGTATGCACGGGTTGAAATTTAATAAAATTATTGCTTCATCAAGGACATTCTTAATTAAGAGTGGCTTAAAAAAAAACAACCCAAAAACAAAAAAAAAATCAGAGAAAATAGCAGTGAAGAATACAATTAGTAGTAGTTTACTGGTACTGGTTTGTTTTCACTGCCTTGATTTGTGCCAGACAGTGTGTCATATTGTATATATTTTGTTAGTATCTTTTTTCACTTACATATTAGTAACTTCTTTGGTCAGATGATATGCTAGATTTTAGGGGGGAGTCACATGATATTCATTTATGGATCTAATTTAGCACACTGTATAGGTTGTTTTCCCTTTCTAGTTTAAGTGTTTTAAAGTAGTTGACATGCTTTAAATGTTACCTATTTTTGTATGTTTTTTAAACTTAAATTTATGAAATTTCTTTTATTTTCAGTTAAAAAATTGGTTTTTTTCCTCCTTGTTTCAGTACAGCTATTGGAATCAGATGTAAAGATGGTGTTGTCTTTGGGGTAGAAAAATTAGTCCTTTCTAAACTTTATGAAGAAGGTTCCAACAAACGACTCTTTAATGTTGATCGGCATGTTGGAATGGTAAGGTGACATTAAAAATTTTTCTTTTTGTCTTGTCCATTTTCTTTTGAAGTAACTGGAATATATTAAAACGTGATTATAAGAACCCATTTACTTCAACATTGAGGCAGAAATAGATAAGTGAGCAGCCACAAAAGTTATCAAGTCAGTTACTGGATTTGAACAGTTGACTGTCTAAAAGAAAGATAGCATTCTCATAACCTTATTGGTGGAAGATGTGAAAACCCAAATTGCTTTAAGAAAAGGAGGAGAGGGAGAGGGTTATGGACTATATGTAGCAATGAGATCTTGGCAGCATAGATCACAAAGGTATATGCTTGAGCGGCAAAGAATCTTTAGTTTTTTGTATTCCTTGTGGGAATTACTGTCACATGAAGATGTTATCAGGTAAAGAACATCTTTATAGTAAGGTGGAGCACCAGGAAAAGATGCTTAATAAAAGGAAAAGTGAACACATCCTTTTTAATAGCTTCATTGTTATCACTGTGTTTATTTCATGCAGCTGGTATCTAAGCTGTCTTGAGTGACTGCTTGGTAGAATTTGCAAGCCCAGCCATAAATCCATAAATATACGGCTGCTGTCTACTGAAGTCATTCTATACAGATGTCATACTTTCTTCAGTAAGAACCACCACCAAAAAAAGAAAAGGAATGAAATGATTTTAACCCTACCTAAAAAGGCAAGGTACTATGCTGGGAGCTCTTTACATAAATTATTCTCATTAACCTGACAGTTCAATGAGTCCGTTTGTTATTTAAAGCCAGGAAGCTGATGGCATTCCATACACCTGAAAATTGGTGAAACACTGGACATTGAAGAGGGTTGGAGAAAATTAAGGCTTAATGTCCTCCATCTACAGTTGTCATCTTCAAGTGATTTGAGAATTATTAGACTTCACAGTTAGCTTTCTCTAAAGCAGTAGAAGATTCTTTAAATGGTGAAACTCAATGGCTTAGGTAAACTTGGGAAAATTATTCTAAACACCCGTTTCCCAGTCTGCAAAACAAGGGTGATAATACTTAGTTACTGTGAGGTTAAAAATAATTATGTAAAATGCTTAACATGCAATGAGCGCTTAATATGTGTTCGGAATTATCGTCATTACTACTACTAAGTTGCAGTACACAAAAAAAAAGCTACTAATTCTGGTATCACTTTTAAATTCTGCAAATCTCCTAAGCTAATGGTTTCCAAACTTTGTCTCCTGGTCCCTTGAGTGTCCCAGTAATTTTTCTCTATGGTTTCCTTAGGCCAAAAATACGTAATGGTTTTGTTTAGTGTTTAAGCTCAAACAACTTAGTGTTTGTATCCTGAAAACTTAGTAGTTTAAAAAAAAAAAAAAACGACAAACCACATACAGTTAAAATATTTTAATTTTTATTTCATTTTAAACAACCACAATTACTAACACATACATCGCTCAATTTCCTAAACTTTGGAATCAGATTGGATGTTGCCACCCTCATTTTCTATACCACATTGATTTTTGTATAGTACTTTTATCACAGCATCCGCTAATAACCCAATGCCCCAGGGTTTCTCAGCACATTTGTAGGAACTGCAGTTGTAAGCCACCATCTTGATAGGTTAATGGTTTGTCATTTTTTGTTTGTCATTGCAGTTTATTAGCCAATAGACTGAAAAAGGAGTTTTGTGGTTGTGTCTTTTAGACCAAAACTTTTAATAACTTTTTAAACATAGAACTGTTTTTGAAATTTCAACCCTGACCAAGACTAGTGGTTTTTATTCTTTCTAAAGAGGTGGGAAATGGGAACAGGATTTATGATAGAAACAGTCCTTCTGAATATGAATTGGATAAAGCAATGAAGTCATACTCAGTAAATTTCCAAATTGTAATCCCATACTCAAGCATCAAAATGCTTTGTAAAAACCTTTAAGCCAAAAAAAATTTTATTCCAAATGATGACACTTGTTAAAAATATATTAAATAACCCTATAATAGCATGCTTTTATTTCTAATAGGAATATATTTATCTATTAAATTGGTACTTTTTTTCAGGCAGTAGCCGGTTTGCTGGCAGATGCTCGCTCTTTAGCAGACATAGCAAGAGAAGAAGCTTCCAACTTTAGGTCTAACTTTGGCTATGACATTCCACTAAAAGTAAGTTGATAACATGGTGAGGAACCATTTGCACAGTAATGTGAGTTTATTTATTTATTATTATTATTTTTTTTGTCCTTTTTGTGACCGGCCGCACCACGCTCAGCCAGTGAGTGCATCGCACCGGCCATCCCTATATAGGCTCCGAACCCGCGGCGGGAGCGCTGCTACGCTCCCAGCGGTGCACTCTCCCGAGTGCGCCACAGACTTGGCCCAGTAATGTGAGTTTATTAATAAGCTCTTCTGTTTCCCCTTCATAGCATCTTGCAGACAGAGTGGCCATGTACGTACATGCATACACACTCTACAGTGCCGTTAGACCTTTTGGCTGCAGGTATGAAATTTTGTGAGATATCCAAAAGTCAGATATGTATTGTAGATATCTATTTTCTCCAGCATCTTTGCCTTTTATACACTTAAAAATATGAACTGTTACCAAGAAGTATTAGGGCAGTGATTAAATAAAACATTGTACATAAAAATAAAAACTATTTGAATAGTGGAAAGGACTATACATGTTTGAAGTAAAGATAAAACAACTCATAATGACCTGAATGTGATTATAGTAAATTGGTGTTAGTCTTTGCTTTTTCTCATGAAACTGGTCTGATTTTAAATATATTCCATGCTAACCTTAGCTAGCTAATTATACTTCAGTTTTCTCACTAATTTCCATCTGATATGCTTTAAGGACTTAAGATAGAATGAATGCTTTCAAATGGTGTTTTTTAGCAGTCAGCAATTAATCCATGCAAAATTACTTTCATAATTCTCACTAATTATAGTTTCTACTTCTGTGGTTAAGATGAGGTGCTGTAGTAGTTTTATTTTGGGGGGAAGTGGGGATTCAACTATATCAAGACCTGAAATATGTGTGAATATTCAAATATGGTTTCTAGGAGGAGGAAACCTGTCATAACTAGCTTTTCCTAAAATGAAGACATGTTTAATTTATAACTTAAAAAAAAAAGAAAAACTAGGTCATGTTTGATAAAACGTTTACTAACATCTGAGTGCTTAGAGGTAGTGCTATCTTTGAGTTGTTTATGATCACTATATTTAAATTACTAAGGAAGACAGATGTTAAAGAAAACCTGAGTTGTATTTTATTGGCAATAGGTTAGACCTGTGAATATTCGTTACATTAGTTATTAAGGTTCTTACTTAAATTACATCACGTAGGGGCTGGCCAGTTAGCTCAGTTGGTTAGAGCACAGCCTTATACCACTGAGGTCATGGGTTCAGATCCCTGCACTGGCCAGTCACACACACAAAAATGAAACACTTTGCTTTCAGACAAGTTTATAGAATACCTTTCAACTGAGCCCTGAGTTCATCAGTTACTTCTCTGCTCTTAAGAGAGGAAAGAATAATGGAGAGAAGTCTTCCAGTAAACATTTGCTGAGAATATACTTGTACTATTAATCAGTCATAGATATGGGGACACAGGATGAATGTCACCATTGATAAAATTTTAGAGGTGATATGATAAAGGTATGTATTGAGTATAGTGGGGCAACAGGGTATCGCCTCTTTCCAAAGAGGTGGCAAGGAAAAGGGTATGAGATATATAGCAAGAACAGGTAAGAGTATTTCAAGCAAAGAGACTGGTTTGAAACTACTTGGGCATTTCAGGAAATGCGGAGGTAGTCAAGGTATATGCTTGAGCAGCAAAGAAGTTGAGTTTAAGGTTTAGACGTGATACTGAAGACATAAGAAGGGATCAGATCATACAGAGGTCTGTCCTCTATGTTAAGGAGTTTCAGCAAAGGAGGTGTTGAATGGTTTAAAATGGTGACAATCGGATATAGACTGTATTCTGAGAGACAAGTCTCATATCAGTGTGGAAGACGGAAAGGAATGATGGTAGGTGTGGGAATTGGAGAGTTGGCTGTTAAGATACTCTGCATGTGAAATGGTATGAAAGATGAGGCTGGTTTCTCTTCTACTCTAAAGCAAATATATTACAGTTTTGGAAAATCAGTAATTCATATGATTCAATGACTTAATTTGTTGAGCATATAAAAATACATTGAACCAAGTCTGACTGTTGCAGAAAGAATACTGGGGAAGAGAATGAAGGAATTTGACATGGATTTAGAATTTCTGTCAGAAATGTTTATGCCTTTACCTATCAGGCCCTCTCATTAGTTTTATTTTTCAACTGCATATCATTGCTTCTTTCTCTACATTGCTATCTTCCCAGCAGTTTCATCAGAAAGTTTAATACTAAAAAAAAAAAAAAAAAAGAAAACCCACATGAATTTTGAACAGATAATCTCAAGTTAGTACTAGTTTTATTAATTGAAACTAGCTTATCATAGTACTTACTATGACTTATATGTATATAGCAATTATCTTAGAAACCATAATCTCACTTTTATCACTATAGTATTAAGAACCATAGTTTAAACTATTTGTTTACTTTTATACAGTTTCATGTTAGGGTCTTACAGTGTGAATGATGGTGCGCAACTTTACATGATTGACCCATCAGGAGTTTCATACGTGAGTAATTTTGAATCATTTGAAATTCTATTCTTATTTCATTAGCATTTAATATTCATATTTGGATTATATGAAATTCCTTTAAAACTCATTCAAGAAAAGTAATATTTTCTTGCTTATCATTATATGGATATTAGGCAGAGATAATATTTGTGGCTTTCAAAATGCTATATATAGAAACTACATAGTAAATGTATTTCGAATGTGATTTTCCTTCAATAACTATAAAGATTAGCAGTATCTTAAAACAGAATATAATGTCTCTCTTTTCAAAAAGTGGGTTTAAAGGATTTCTTAAGAGCTTTCTCTAACTTAAATGATGACATAATTTTCCTTTACATATACCTTTATTAAAAAGAATCCAGAGTTCTGTTAAAGTTTGGCATTTTAAGTTTTTTGAGCCTGCTGGCATTTGTTAGAATGTGTTTGACTATATTTCTCCACACTTGCTTTTAAAAGTCATTCAACATCCTTTCATTAACTTTTAAAATAGAAACAGTAGTTGTCATTAATGTTATGACAGTATACTAATTTAACTCAATAACATATTGTCTTTTTTTTTTTTTTAAAACAGGGTTATTGGGGCTGTGCCATTGGCAAAGCCAAACAAGCTGCAAAGACAGAAATAGAAAAGCTTCAGGTAACACATATTTAATGCTTGAATTTTTGCTACATCATTATCCTTCGTGTAGTCAAGTTTTATCACCACAAGCTAAACCTTTTAGTCCAAGGATGTAGTAGGGCTTGATGTTTAGAACAGAGCTTTCTGTAACTGCTAAGTGATTAAATAGGAAAGTTGGTAATGCATTATCTGTAGAGTTGTGTCATGGATCCCTTCATGATTTTGATGGCTGCAATAAGTTCTCAATTCAGAAAAATACAACTTTTTGTATAATTTTACTAAATCCTTGAAGCCGATTGATGGATTCCTGCAGCCTTAGCTTGAGAATTTTGGTATTTTAAAATTTTGAGTTAATGTCATAGAATCAACTCTAGTAAGAAGTTATACATAGTAAGTTTTCCTATATCATTTTTCTGTGGGACACAGCTTATATATACATATATATAGTGTGTGTGTATGTGTGGCTGGCTGGTATAGGGATTGAACCCTGGACCTTCGTGTTACCAGCACCATGCTCTAACCAACTGAGTTAACTGGCCAGCCCCCATGTCTTAACATAAGACTTTTAAAGTGTTTGGCTGTGCTCTAGTGCTTCTCCTCATAAGGTATGAAGCCTGTCCTGTTACAACTACCCGCTTTTTTTTTTTAAAAAAAAGATGACTGGTAAAGGGATCTTAACCCTTGACTTGGTGTTATCAGCACCACACTCTCCCAAGTGAGCCATGGGCCAGCCCTACAACTACCCACTTTTTCTTCCCCAAGAGCCAGAAATTCAGCTATTAGTGTGGAAAAGTTTTCTTAAACACCTGGTTTTCCTTTTAGCCATAAATTGATCAACTTAATATTGAAACAGTATACACAAAGTCTTTATTACTTACCTGTCAGAAACTTCCCTAAAAGGGCAGGCATATGGTTTATCAGAGTTTTGGTAAATTACAGTAAGAAAGAATTTCATATACATTTAATATTAATACTGTACTAGAACCTTGCTCAACTAATGCTCATTCAACTTATTTGTCACATTCTAGAACCCCCTATAAAGCCTAATTTATGTTTGAGATAGTAAAGTTGACAAAAGGACTTTAGAGATCGCTTAGCCTAAGCCCAATCCCAAGTTAAACACACTGCCTAGGGTCACAGACTAAATTGGCTGTAAACAGTATTCAGACTTGAGTCTTAGACCAGTGTTCATTTCCATCACACTTCCTTGTGTGGTACTAGGTTCCTATCTTTTTATCTCTTTGTAGCATTATGTGGAAATTTGAAAATTATATGCAGTGGTCAACTATCCTTTTGTCTTTCTGTGGTTAAATCTTAGTAAGGAACGGGTAAAACAACAAATCCCAGCTTTAAAAACAAAAAAACACACACTATAATGAAGGAACACTTATACCTTATGCCAATAACATAAAATCGCGTTGTACTATGGCCCACTGCTTGCTTTTTTAAGTAAGTTTCATTGCAGCACAGCCACATTCATTCTATGGCTGCTTTCACACTACAACAGTAGTTTAATATTTGGAACACAGTCCAGAGGCCATGTATTTAAAATATTTACTATTTGGCTTTTTACTGAGAGAATTGTCTGACTGCTGCTCTATATCATTGCTCTGGCCTGTTTTTCTTTTGATGGTCTGCTTACTAAAAAACAAATTCACGAACATATGTAAAAAAATATATATGCCATTTAAAATGTGCTATTTCAAGTTTGCTTAAGTTTGCCTTTGTAGGATAGAGTTAATTCCCTAAACAGAGAGGTTTACCAGTAAGGGCAGAAATAAACACATCAATATTCTTTCCCTTCCCTTCACCCCAATTTAACATGAAAAAATGTAAACATTAAAAGAATATTACACCAAACCTATTTTCCCACATTTTATCCATTTGTACGTTTTCCCCTGAACTACTTGAAACAAAGTTGCAGACATGACATAGTATCCCTAAATGCTTTAGCATTTATCTCCTTGCAACAATACCATTATCATACTAAAGATATCATCTAATAGTCCAAAATCAAATTGCCTTAATCATCCCAGCACTGTCTTTTTTAACTGTTTTTCAAACCACACTATCAAGGTTCACTTTAATTTGTTCCTCCTTTTTAGTTTTTTCCCCCCTCCACAATATATTTAAGGGCCCATGCCAGCTGCCTTTGGAATTGTACCCCACATATTGGGTTTGTCTATTTCTGAAGACTAGAATACTTAAATTTAAATTCAGTATTATGATTTTTGTTGTCATCGTTGTTTCTTTTCTCATGTGGTTGTGCAGGCATAGCTTCAGCATTGGGATTTCTAAACTTCAATCAAAAACAAAAACAAAATATTAATGAACCTAGTTTAAAGATATGGTAGTTGAATCACCTTAAGTCAGACTGTTGTATGAGTACCCATTATCTTTCACCACTTTCCATCCCCCCAATATATCCAGAACATGCATGCTAGTATGCAAAAAACATTGTATTGATTCTGTTGTGTTTTCAGAAACTCTTATCTGTTTATAAACCAATATGTCTAATAAAATCTTGCACTGGTTACTTCCAGTACCTACGGTATAAAAACTCCTCAGCTGGGCACTTATGGGCTATTTTTCTACACTGATTTCCAAACGTTCACTTAAAAGAATGCTGAATTACTTCTAATATGAACAAAATTTTGGCTTCCTGTTTCTGCTTTGCAGATTTCATTTATCTTCCTAGAATCAAATCAAATCCCATCTGTGTTCTAAGAATCCACTCAAATCTTGATTTTTCTTCAGAACTTTCCATGATATTTTGCATTTTTTGTCTTGAATAGCTCCATGAGGGACAATTTATCTTACTTCTTCATCTTTCTGTATCTTGTATATTCACAGGTTGAGTATCCCTTACCGAAATGCTTGGGACCAGAAGTGTTTCAGATTTCAGAATATGTGCAGAAAACATACTGGTTGATTATCCCTAATTCAAAAAGCTCCAGTCAGCATCCTTTGAATTCCATTTCAGTGCTCAAAAAGTTTTGAATTTTGGAGCATTTTGGATTTTGGGATTAGGGATCTTCAACCTGTAGTAGGTATATTAATGGTTTGTTTTCATTTTATTACTAAAAATTGGCTATAAAGAAAAACAGATTTCTTCTCCAGTCTTTCAAACTTCTGCCTGTGAGTGTAGAGTCAGAGAGAGATCTGGATTCTTATAAATTTTATCACAAAATTAGAGCTATGTAAGGCTTATCCAGAATATCTGTTTTGGTATATTAACTTAAAGACATAAAGACATTGTAAAGCAGAAAACTTAGGTTCTGGTGTTGTTCTAGGCTATTTTCTTTGGTTTTCTATCTGAGAATCTATTTCAGGAGCACAGGTTATTGATAAGAGTTGTGAAAATAGTTACACAAGTGGAAAGTGTTCTTTTAACTCATAAAATTAATATACATTTTGTGCAGATGAAAGAAATGACCTGCCGTGATGTTGTTAAAGAAGTTGCAAAAATGTAAGTTGAAATTTTCCTTACCATCCATAAAAATATTTCACTTGACCTTTTATATACATTAATTCTTAGGCTGTTTTATTTGAAAATAACTTCGTGTATGAGAGGACCTCAAAAAGTTTGTGAGAAAATAGAATTAAAAGATGATACCTATCTCTCCACAAATTTTCTGAAGTACTGTCACATAGTTTTTAGAAGATAAACTTAACGTTCTAAGATGCTTCATTAAGGAGGTTAATATCTGTATTTTTAATTAAGTTATTAACATTTTCAAGTAATAATGGATGGGATGGGAAAAAAATAGCTTTTGGCAAAATTTGTTTGGTGATAGGGTTTAAGGGTAGGAGGACATAATAGACTTTTAGGGGCTTCATTTGTTAGCTCCCAACTTCTAAAATCTCCTAAGTCCCAATAATTGTAATCTTAGATTGCCTATAAGAAAGCTTACAAACTTTATGGTAGGTTTACAGCTAATTATTTCTATACATGGTCCACGAAGCTGACTCATTTATATAATCTGCTGTTTCTTCAGGAAAGATGTCTCACTTTTTCAGGTTTATCATAAAAAGTTCTTGTAACAAGATGGGAGGAACAGTATTCCAAAACATTTTTTAAATCTAATAAAATACTAATTTTGTAGAGAGCTTTTCAGATTTAAAAGTTATAATATTCTAGAGAATTCACAGTACTACTGTTCTACATTAGGACTACAAGAACAAGGTCTAGTCAGTCAGCTCTTTGACCAATAGTGTCACAGGTTTTACATCCAATAAATTTGTTGTCTTTTATAATGTTCATGATAATATAGATTATGTAGAATGTGCCTGCATATCATTTTATAAATATTTATACTAGGGATGGATGTTCTAATTTGTATTGTGGGTATGTGAACTACAGTGTTTGAAGGTAACCAAATGTTAATTTTCCTTTTTCTGTTCTAGTATTTATATAGTACACGATGAAGTTAAGGATAAAGCTTTCGAACTAGAGCTCAGCTGGGTTGGTGAACGTAAGTTATTTTTGTACATTTATTTGCTCTAGGGGTCAGCTGTATTGCACCTAATTTACTACTGGGTGCCCTTTCTCTACAGAGAAAGCCAAAACAAATTTTTCAGGTAGTCTAATTGAAGGGAAAGATCTGTTTAATAATCGACTAAAGTTGTGAACAGTTTTACTTTTTTGAAACATTCATTTCATGTTTTAAAAGATGTTACTGAGAAATCAGCTTTTTCTGTCAAGGCTAGGATTTTCAAAACTTAATCTAATCATGTTGTGAATTAACACCCAGGATTTATAAATCATAGCATAATTAACTCTTCATTTACGTTAGCGCTTAATTTGGGCACATATAATCTCATGTGGAGGAAACACAAAAATGAATTTGTAGCATTACTCAAGGAACAGCTTTACACACACCATTAGATGAATTATACTTGTGGACTAGATAGGTTATATGGTATTAAAAATCACAATATAGTCCTCATTTTTAATTCATTTAATTATATGGCTTAATTTATAGTAACTAAAGGAAGACATGAAATTGTTCCAAAAGATATAAGGGAAGAAGCAGAGAAATATGCTAAGGTAAGCCACAGCATAAAAACTTCTCTAAACAAAATCATGAGTGGAATAATAAAGGAGGGGGTTGATTTCTATTAAATAACACTGAAGAGTTTAACTGAACTAAGAATAGAAATTTTCTAGGTTGTCTCCAGTGGGGTTTAAGTTACTCTGGGGGCTGGCCAGTTAGCTCAACTGGTTAGAGCACACTGAGGTCAAGGGTTTGGCTCTACGGACTGGCCAGCCACCGAAAAGAAAAGAAAAAAAAAAAAAAAGTTGCCCTGGTTCCAAATCGAAAAGATTTTTTTTTTTTTTTTGGTGAAAATTGCAAGGGATTTCCCCAGGATATTTAATGTTTCTGTTGTAGCTTGACTTGCCCACAAGTGTGGGATACAACAATATTAAAAATCAATTTTACCATACTGGCCAGCAGCTTAAAACAAAACAAAACAAAAATATTTTAAACACCATTTTTCTCTTAACAGGAATCTTTGAAGGAAGAAGATGAATCAGATGATGATAATATGTAACATGTACTTCAGCATCTATTCTAAGTTTCTACTACCGTTTCATGTAATTACTCAGTCTCACAGATAATAAATACCCACTGACCAGTTTTCATTAAATTTTTGTCTTGTAACTACTGAAGTTTGGTTAATATCTGCTTGACAAAATTGGGGGTAATTGAAGACATTTACTTAATATTAAAATACAGATTTATTGAGGCTTTGGAACCAGATGAATTTAAAGCCCCATTCCATCTAGAATTCAAAGATCATATTCTGCTGAGCTCTTTTATAAAAAGCACCTATCAATTTAGTAGGCATATAATTGATACTGTTGCCCATTTTGGTATTTAGTGAAGTGATTGCTGGTCATTAATTAGCCACTGTTAATCTTTAGGTGTGATGCAGGAGAAAGATGTTTCAGTTTGGGATAGTTTTTCAAAAACAGATCCTCCAATATGTGAATCAAGAATATTTTTTGCTTTTTTCGTTTATTGTGAGGAAGAGTAGGTTTAAGGATCACTGTCACTGAAAAAACTTTGATCTGTGAAGTTCAAATAAAAATACCCACCAAATAACTTTCATGCTAAAAATGTGCAAGTACTCTGTAAACAGAACTGTTACTAAATGAAAAATAATCAGTATTGTAGCCTGGAAGAAGTGTCACAACCTTAACAGCAGTATTCACAGCAGAAATAATCTGAACTCAGGCCAGGTATACACACCCTTTATTGGGCTCTTGCCAGTATCATTCCATTTAACTGCTATGCTTTCCGAAGAAGGTAATCTAGTCACTGAATTTAGCTGGAGGATATTGCTGGACTTTGAGCATTTGTGTGTTTAAATAGCAAATCATTATACCTCAATAGTAGCTACTCTATAAACAACCCAAAACCAGTACTTCATCACCATGGCTTCTTTTGTGTCAAATTACCTGCTACATTTTACCACTCACATTTAACTGACAATGAAAAATCTGGTGCCCTTGATAGAACACCTGAACAATACTCACTGGATCTATTTACAAACAGATAAGTCGACTATCCCTAAGACAATCTATGGCCATTCCTATATTTTCTCAAAGTTCTAAAGTATGAATGGCACATAAAAATTCTCTTTGTGCTGAGAATAACTTTTTTTTTTTTGCTGCTGGCTGGTATGGGAATCCAAACCCATGACATTGGTATCATAAGGCTGCACTCTAACCAAGAGAACAACCGCCAGCCTACTGTTCTTAAATTCACACTAGTAGAGCTAAGATAGCCCTCTTGAAACCTAAATTTGAGCAGCTAAGCCACTTACTTGTAAGCTACTATAGATGCCATAATATCAGAAAAGTATTTAAGCAGATATATCTAGCTCTACAGCTATTACGAAAGAAAAGTGATGTTCATATACACTATCTACAGTTAATAAATTTCGGTTCAGTTGTTGGGGCACTTTGTAATCAATGTTGAGATGTGACTTAGCCTCTTTGAAGGAAAAAAAAAAAAGCTGGTACATTTTACTTTGACATGACAACAAAATTTATTTTAAGAAAAGACTGAGTATCCTACTGCTGTAAATCATCTTGATACTGGTACCTAAAAAATTTTTTTTAAAGAATAAAGTTTTGGTTTAGAGATTTGAAATAATAAAATATATTTCGACTATAAAAGCACTTATCTGATAAGATCATCTGTTTACTTTCATCTGTATCATTCATAAAGGGACCTAAAAAATAAGAAAATCAAGTCACAGGTCATCAATATGTTTAACTGATTGAAACATTAAAATACTCTTCATTTATAGGAGAAACAGCAAATTAAGATTACAATTTAATATCTTTTTCTCATTTTGTAAAAAATATCCACCTATGAAAATGCTGATAAGAAGCCAGAAAAGTCCCTAAATGAAAATGTCTTAATGCCCAACACTAACTTTTGAATTCCTTACCTTTGGAAATGGAACCCAGACTTCACCTATATTTTACTTTCCTGAATTCCACTATATCCACATTGTCCCTATACCTAGACTATTTAACTGGTCTCTCTTAAGAACTTCTACCAACCTGCCAAAAGAAGGCCCTGTAAAATGACTGTCAGATTTCTCCCTGCTCAAACCCTTTAACGTTTCCTATTTCATAGTTGTGGAACTACCTATTTTTAAAAAAGGAACTACAAAGCACAAAATGAGTAAGAGTGCATCCACTTTAACCCCAACCAAGTAAAGCTTTTGTTTCACCACTGACCATGTGTATGCATTTATTAAATAAAAATAAGTGTATACTCCCCAGAATGTGAATTTTAAAAAAATCATGTCTTCATATCTTCACTGGTAAACATTCAGATGCTAAAAGATACACATTTCTTACTGAATTAATTCGTACAAATTAACTGCACAATAACGTATACTATTTGAAAAACACTGGTTCAGAAATTTATCGATCGGAGGCTTCTAAATTAAAACGAACATGGTTTGTCATCTGAACAGATATGGAAAACAAGCTTAGAAAATAAAATTTGGGGGATAAAATTCTTTTATGGAAACAGTGGGATTTTTTCTTGTTAAAAGAAGTTAAGAGGGCTGGCCAATTAGTTGGTTAGAATGTGATATTGTTAACACCAAGGTCAAGGGTTCAGATCTCCTTACTGCCCAGTTGCCAAAAAAAAGTTAGGGCTTCTTTACCCCAGTATAACCACAATACTTTAAAAGAAAACTGACACTGTAATTAAAACCAGGATATTGGATTATAAGCTCATATAGGTTTTAATCTGGCTGTTGTTTACTAATTGTGTGACCTTGGGCTAGTTAATTTCCTCATGTATAAAATAAGGATTATGTACCATTTAAAATGGCAATAAAAATGGAAATAGGTATAAATTTAACTAAATTTGTGCACAATTTTATGTTGAAAATTATAAGATGATGAGGAAAAAAGAACTAAATAAAGTGGTCAGAGACACAGTATCGTTAAGATGTCAGTTCTACCCAATATGATTTATAGATTCAGTGTAAACCTAATTAAATTTCTGGGGGAGGGGGATAGAAACCAACAAACTATTTCTAAAATTTATAATGGGTAAAGTCTTTAAAGGATTTAGAAGAGCCAAAACAATTTTGAAAAAGGACAAGTGAGAGGACACACACTACCTGATTTTAAGACTTACTACAAAGTTAATGTTGTAGACATACATGTATTACTAGTGCAAAAGAAAGAATCCAAAAAGACCCACAAATATGGTGAATTGATGGACAAAGGTGAAAAGGCAAATCAATGGACAAAGAATAATGTATTTTCAACAAATGGTACTGGAACAATTGGATATCCACACGTAAGAGAAAACAAAAACCTCAAATCATACCTTACACCATAATACAAAAATTAACTGAAAAGTGAATATAGACCAAAATGTGCCTTTAACTATAAAACTTATAGAAGAAAACATAGAAGATCTCTGTGGCTGGTTTAAGAAAGAACTCTCAAAAAGGATGATCCATAAAAGAAAAAAATGGACAATTTCACCAAAATCAAAAGCTTCTCTCCTAAAAACACAGTTAAGAGAACGACGAGGCAGGTGAAACTAGTGAAAAACCACACATCTGACAAAAAACTTGTGTCCAGAATATACGAGGGGTCCTCAAAATGTTTGTGGAAAGATTCTTATCTTTTAATTCTATATTTCCACAAACTTTCTGAAGTACCCTCATATAAAGAACTCTCAAAATTGAACAATGTGAAAACCCAGTTTTTAAAAATGGACAAAAAGTTGAACAGACAATTCACTAAAGAAGCTACATGGATGGGCCGGCCCGGTGGCGCACTAGATAGTGCGCCGGTTGGGAAGCGCGGCGGCGCTCCCGTCCGAGGGTTCGGATCCCACATACAGACCGGTTCCCGCTCACTGGCTGAGCGAGGCGCGGGAGCAACACCGAGGCTTGCGATCCCGTTGCCGGTCCCCGGCCCGGTACGGGGGCAACATTGAGGGTTGTGATCCGTTACTGGACACGGAAAAAGACAAAAGACAAAAAAAAAATAAAATAAAAAGAAGCTACATGGATAAATGTGTACCTGAAAACATGCTTTTATTATTCATTGGGAAAATGCAAATTAAAATCACAATGAGATACCTCTCCACACTTATTACTTGTATACAATTTAAAAAGACTGGCCACACCAAACATTGGTGAGATGTAGACTAAGAGGAATGCTCACTGCTGGTGGGAGAGCAAAATGGTGCAGCTGCTTTGGAAAACAATTTGCCAGTTTCTTACAAAGTTTAACACTTAACATATAAACCTGGCACTCCTATTCCTAGGTGTTTACCCAAATGAAACGAAAACTTTGGCTGTATAATTCATACTGTATGGTTCCAATTGTGTGATATTTTGAACAAGGCAAAACTATAAGATCAAAAAAACAGATCGGTGGTTCTCAAGGGCTGGGGTTGGGAAGAAGAGATTAAATGAGCACAAGGCAACTTTTTGTAGTAATGAAAATAAGTGTTCTATACCTTGATGATATTTAGTCATAAAACTAAGTTTATTAATATTCAAAAATTGTACATATAAAGAATGAATCTACAATGCTGTAAGTACAATGGATAAAACTACTCTCTAAATTATAATAATACCTTATTTTACTGTTTGAATAAAGGGGCATTCAAATTTATTAAAAAATATACTCTAGTCTTTGGTTCAACATTAATTGCCTATGAGAACTGTCAGAGGACAATGACAATAGAAAACAAGATTCTTGCCCTTTATTTTACGAAATACTTTGAGAAGACTTCTACTTAAAACTAAACATCTCTTGCCCCCCCCCCTTTAATTAGGGTTAATTAAAAAATAACAAAAGCACAAAGAAAGACATCCATATTCCCACAACCCAGAATAATATGTTAAAATTTTTTCAAAGTTTGCCTCCATTGTTTTTTCAATTATATAAATTATGTGGTATGTGTATATGTAGCTACATGTTTATTGACCCTCATATGTTTAATATTACAAAAATTACAAATAAAACTAATGTTCCTACTTTAACCACTCCACCCCTTCAAGAGGTAATCACTATATTAATGTGCATCCTTCCAGTCTGGACATAACATCTCTTTTAAAAAAGTAAATGCTGGTTGATATGTACAGATTGTTGAAGAGCAAGGTTCCTTATTTATGTTTGTTTTTGAAATATATGATTTGGATTTATATTTGACTTCTACTACATGGAACCAAAAGTGGAATTTTAAGGAAACTCCTTTAAATAAAGAGTTGAACTATAAGATCCATCTGGGAATGGTAATTAAAGAAAAAAATTTTTTTTTCATGAAAGCCAACAGGATTCAAAGACCCATGTAATATAGAAGAATTACTCTTACGACAGCATCAAGGAAATACTGATAATTTAGAGAAAGTGAAATAGTATAGGAGAATTAGAGTTATAAAAATGATATCATCTTTAGTAGGTTTGACTGGTTTGAGAGTCAGCAGCAACCAAGTGATACTAAAAATTCAATGGAAACATTTCAATGCCTACAATATATCACATCACCTAGAAAGATTAACAAGTAAAATACAATTCTTTTCCTGGTGAGCAAACACATTTTAACATCACTCGCAAGGACTATTTTAAGTATGTGTGTATATTATGATGTACACATATATTGTATGTATATACTGAATTACAGAAGTGTGCTTTGGGAAGAGGAGGACATAAATTCTGACAAACAACATGGAAGGGGATGTGGGAGTTTCCTGGACACCTGGCAGATGAGCTCTCCAATGAGTAAATGTAGAAGAAAAACAGAGAATGTCAGAATTAGTAGAAAAAAACTCCTGAATGCCAACAATTGAAATAAAGAGACCAATCTATGTAAGAGTATGAAGGACAGAATTTTGATGATAGTGGGAATGCATGCAATAGGTAACTGTTATTCAAACTGTGGTTCAAAGACCACCTGCATAAGAATTCTCCATAGATTTGAATTCACTATGTCTGAAGTGAGGCCCAGGAATCTACTTTTTGAACGAATACCTGATGTAATTCTTATGAACAAACTAAAATTTAAGAATTACTGATTTGGACACAGGTTATTAAAAAAGAGAAAGCAACAGAAAAGGTTATTTAAAAATTTTTAATAGATAACACTTCTGTTATAAAGTAATGAGGCAGAAAGTAGTAGAGGATGATAGGTGTTTGGGAAAACTCTTTTCCATTTGATTTTAGGAGAAACATGTTTCAGAAACAGGGGCAAGTGTCTACATGAAATATAAGGGAAGTACCTGGTAGAAAACTTAGAGCAGATGGTCTCAAATATTTTATGATTGAATATCAGCTCTCCAAAGAGGACAACATAGATGTATTAGGAGAATATTTCCAACATGAAGGTGAACAAAGAGCCAGGGCACCAATAAGGAAAAAATTGTATAGTTTATTAGTGGGATTAAAAACATCTTTCATATTTTACTGACAGGTCAGGAGGAAAGACAAAAATAGCTCTGACTTGCAGCCAGCCAGGTTAATTTGGCCAAAGAAAATTTTATGGAAAGGATTAATGCCACAACTAAAAAAAAAATGATAACACAAGATTTCCTTATCAACAATATTAGGATTCAGGTTTACAATGAAAGTATGTTCTGACACATTCTATTAACACCTAGTTAGAAGTTCATTTCATAAGATAAAAAAGTGACAGGTAATTCATCATTTCTAACTGTTTTATTTACTATCTTAGTTG